TTTTTTTTCGGCGTATAAAACGTAATTAGAAGATGATTTATGAGCCGTCATGATGAGAACGCAATTAAATAAATCATTCAAAGAAAGTGTTCCTCTTCCTCGAGCAGTAAAACAACGAAGTGAAAGTAATCATCGTGAGATAAGGTGGTGAACTGAGAATAACATCATGATATTCATTCGTTACCATTCATATAAAAAGGTCATCCGAGCCGTTTTGAGTCAATAAAAGATTGTGAAAATGTGATATCGGAATAGAAATCAATGGTCAAACATCTACTTTTCTGATCCCAAATGTATTAGTGGATTAAGAGGGGTGAAACTCTTACTGATTAAGATTTGTATCCTTAGTGATTTTTGATCCTTATTTGTATCCTTATCATTTGTATTCTTACGCTTATTTGTATCCTTACAAAGTCTTACTGATCTTACTGACTAAGAGGTTTTATAGTATCCTCTTTATGCTCAGCTGACATTTCGAACCGAAGGAAACGGTATCGTTCTAGCGTTAGCTACGAAGCCGTTCGGTTAAGGCTGTATTCCGAGCATTCAGTCTCGGAAGATATCCCGAGAACATTCACNGATAGCCTGAAGCCCAAATATCTGCGATGTAAGTCTAGTCACAACTTAATTCGTTCCTCCACTACCCAAGCGTGTAAATTCAGGTTGCATTGGATAGGTATGAAATTTGATTGGGGAAACAGAAAAGCAGCCGAAAAAAACATTGCGTTGAACTGACCTGAACACGATTTTTAATGATATCCATAGCAATCACAGGCCCGTAACAAAACGACAAAAAACAGTCACTGCACGCTAGAAGACCCAAAAAGAAGAAGTGACTTCGTCGTTTCGAGAGCAACGTTTTGGCGATGAGTAAATTCGAGAACAAGCTGATAAAACTCAACGATGTTCCAGCAACAGCCACTAAATACCAGCGTCGATCCAAATCATGAGGAACTTCACACTCATCATATTCATGCTCCATAGCATTTTCGGTGGTCATGTCATTATTCATAAGGCCGTTATCAGATGTAACATCGCCAGTGACACTGATGTATGAAGCGGTGCTCGAATCCATCTTCAATGAGCGGAGGTGAAGATGAATGCGACCTAGCAGCCAGAATGGAGATAATAAGCACTAAAGTGACTTGAACCAATGAGAACAGCTCTCGATTTTAGATTCATTAAGAGAGGGTGAGCACTTCTCAAATCGGAAATGTCATCATATCTCGTCGCCAGTGAAGAAATTGACGGATATCCGAGCGATTAGCGGCAGTTTTAGGCGATAATCCCTGAAGTTGGAAAAATCACGATTGCAATTAACATTTTGAGTCTACTTATGTCAGTCAGCTCAGGCAGAACCGTTTCATTAAGCTAAAAGTTTGCATTTTCCAGGTTATTAAGCCAGTAAATCATGCGATATGTTCTCGAATTACTGTCGAAATATCACACAGATTAAAGATTACAACGGGATTACTGCTGTCAACAACACCTTTATCAGTTTGAACATATCATATTAAAATTATCGGTCCTGTATGTGAATCAACGGTCCTATCAAGGCAATATCGTAAGAATACGCGCGATCATAAGCTGAGGATGATCATGAAATTGATCAAACAGCATCCAATCGTGAAAACAGACTATTGATGATTTACATAAATCAGATAGATGTATACGCCGCATCAGATCTACATAGGATTATTTCATAATCGTCATAGAAGAACTTGTTTAGTTTGTTTTCCTCAACAATACACGGTGATTGCAATAGTCTTCGCTCAGCATCCCACATCGTAAAAATTCCTATTTCTTATATCTCTATCATTTTTTTTTCATCCACCCTAGACTGACACTGCACAAAGACTTGTATGACGCAGTTAGACGAAAGTCAAGTTAGACGAAAAGACAAGGTTGCTGAAGAAAGGAGATTGTTTCAGCTTTGAAAAACAACCTCGAGGCGTTTCAAGCAGCTGATAAAATGAGATCAATTAACCGGTAATGTGGAAAATTGGAATTGCTTATTGCCAATGTTAATGTTTAAAAAAATTATTAACTTGTTGGTCTGCTCCGTTATATGAAATTCAATGTAAATTTCAACGAATGAATACCGACGAAGTGTTTTCCGTGTTAATTTCCTATACATATTTCCACATTCTACAGTAATTTATAGAAATTCATTATGTTCTCGTCTGCGTTAAAGTGTGAGAAGATTGTGTGTATCTATGAGAACATATCAGAAAGCATTATTGTTGCTTGAGTTGAAAAATGGAAAAGCAATGAAATGACACGCTCAACTCTTTGCTGCTGACTGCACAATTGCATGACGTCAATTTCATGCAGCAGCAGCAAAATGATTCAAAGCAAAGACAGTAAACTTCCAACTGCTCAAAATTATTCAGGCGTGATTTTCACATTTTGATTCTGTCTCTCAACATGATGTCACCTAAGATTGAAATCATTCATGCTTGACGAAGCAAGAATGACAAACTCTCAGTTACGCGGTTTAGGTAAAATTTCTGCAAAAATTTTGAACTCGAATGGTTCAACAGAAATGTGAAAATAACAGTCAAACGTTTAGATGCTTCTAA